TGATCACTTTCTTTCTGTACATGATATTAATAACAATACTGTGATCATAAATCAAATTTTAAGTCAAGCTCAAATAATTAATCAGTCACTTGAAAGATCACCATATATAACTGTACATAACAAAGATCAATCTGTTAAACTGAGACAGAAAACAGAATATTCTGTTCAAACATTCGACTCAGCCTACGCAAGAACCCACACGACTGAAGATGGCAATTGTTTATATAATTCTCTTTCGATACTTAATATTGGTTCTGAAAGACTAGCACATTCAATGCAATGATTAATAATAGTGATCATTTTAAAGAATTTGCAAAGCATTGAATTATTCATTTGAAGAACAGATGAAAAGAACTGTCACGGATGCAAAATGAGGTGGAGAAGTTCAAATTCAAGCCCTTTCTGTAGCCTTATGTCAGCCTATTTATTCATATGTCAAATTCGAGAGTAATTCAAAAAATGGACACTATATTCCATCCGATATCAGTCTACAAAAATTGATCGATCGATTCGATAAAGGAACCGCAGATGGTCATCTTAAATATATTGGATGCAAATCAGATATAAACAAATTGAGTTTATGTATTTATTTCACCGGAAATCATTATGATGCTCTCTTACGTTTTCTAAATAATCCTCAAGAATTTATACCCAAACATGATATAATTTATATGAATTTATAAAATGAAGGAAGGTTCCATAAACTCATCAAAATAATTAATTAAAATAAACAAGTTTTCATTTATGTAAATAAATAAAGACTTCAGAGCTAACTCCTTGCCACGTCTCACGGGACAGAAAGAGAACATCGACAGTGCAGAAGGGGCAGTTTCTTGCTAGAGGTCAATAAATGAAAATAAATTTGTTTAGGATAATTGAATAAGAAAAAGAGAAAAAAGTGTTAACCTGAGTGAAATAGTCTTATTCTATTGTGGTAAAAGTGCAGTTGTAAGTAAACGATCAGGAAGTTCTCTTAAATATTGTTTAAGTGTACTTGCAGGAACATGTGGATCATAATTAAGTTCATTTAATCTTGTTCCCCTATCAATTGTTTGTAAATTAAGTTCAGCAACAATTTTTTTTTGTTTTCCTTGTCATGGTCTGTTACAGACCTCGATCCACCTTCTGTATCTATTTCTCTCTCTTCTCTTTGTTGTTGTACAACTATTTCTTTTCTTTTCTTTTCTTTTCTCTGTTATACTATGCACTTCAAGGACATTTTTATATATATAAGATGTTTCTTCTTTTGAAATAAATATATATCGATCGCTCGACGAAACGAGCTAACATGGTCCAATACGAAAAAAACTTTCTTCATTTAAACTATTTTCTAATAGACGAATACATATTTCAATTGGATAAGCAATTAATGTATCTTTTCTTTTTGAACACTGTTTTATAAGATCATAACCAAATAATAGCATTAAATCATCATTTTCTAATCTTTGTTCAATTTCAGGCATTTTTGATGATAAATATCGAGATATATTATTATAAAATTGATTTTCTTCATATAAATATTGATAAAAAAGTTTGATTGTAATTGAATGTTCTTCACTAGCTATTTTATGTTTCAGTTGCATATATATCGCGTGATAATGTTCGAGATTGTTCATATTCACAACGAATATCTTCTAATTCACGTAAACGTTCATCAAAATTTGCTAATATTAAACGATCAGATCGTGTATAAAATCTTAACAAAATAATTAGAACATTTTTTATTTTAAATAATAAAAACAGAAAGATTTTTAAATTGGCATCAGCTGTTTCTAATTTTTCTTGAGCTTTTTCATAATTATCTCTTAGTTTAGTCATTCTTTGGCGAATAGTTGACGTATATTAAAAATAAATCAATAAATAAATACTTGTTTATCTCTAGCTTGTTCAATAATTTTTAAAAATTGTTCAAGCCATTCTTTTCGTTTTGGAATCAATAAAATCATGTATTTGAATTAAATCATCAATTGTTTGATTTAAAATCGATAAAATACTATTTGTTCTATATGGAGAACAATGACAATGTGCAACATCACTCAAACGAAATTCTTTCAATGATTTTGATACATCATTATCAATACTTTTATTTAACTAAACATTTGTTTTATCTTTTTTTTTGTTTTTTAATTTAATTATTTAACTTACAAAATATTTATCTGTTTACCAAAGATTAGACAATACTTTACAAGAATCTGGAATATAACGAACTCGATTGTAACAATCAGATACATCATCACTTCTATATTAATAAATATAGAGAGACAAAATATTTTCATTTTTTATTTTCGAATTTCTTTGTTTAACCATATCGATAAATATTCTATTCAAACAAATTTATTTTCAAAACATTTTTATAAGAATCGATTAAATTTATTTCCTTAGAAATTTTTAATCGATAATTCGAACTATCTTATCATTATTTCGTCTTATAGAACGTTTCTATCTAGCAGTTAAAAACAGATTTTCGACAAAAGAAGTTCCAATCGGATGAAATATTAATCATTTGTTAGC